AATCGGCCAACGCTTCTCGTAAGGCCTCCCGGGTAGGTTTGGATAACCGGAGGAGGTCGTACATGGTGATTCGTGCGGGGATACTTTTCAGTTGCGCGAGCACGTTGAACCGGTAAGACTGGCGGCTTGAACTTGGTCCATCTAGATTGGGAAGTGCTGCGCTGGGCCTCAAGCGGAAGGTCCTGTCGGGTTCTCTCACTCCTCGCGGGATATCTTTCGTGAACTCTTTCCTGCCCTCGTGGCGAAGACGTTGGTGTCCTCTTCAGAATCTGTCAGAGCAGTCATCGCCGCGTCATCTCTACCTAGGATGGCGGTGACAACGTTGCAGTGTTTTCCCTTAGCCTCCTTGGAAGGCCGCGCAGTCCACTGCTCATCATTAAGGAGGTCCGGATGGACCCACATCACCTGCCCGATGGCAGAGTCTGTGGGACCAAACCTTTTCCCCGCTGGTCGTGAGGATCGTCATTAGTGATCTTTAAGACCGCCTTGGGGATGGGGATTACCCCCGCTGGAGCTTGAACCTCCGGGAGACCCATCCCAAAGCTCAAAGTGACCATGTTCGCCGTCACTTGCTTCTGGACCTTCTCTTTCTTCAAGACCCCTGCGTCGTAGAGGGCCTGGAGTTTGTCCTTGAGGACGTAGCACTTGGTTGTGTGATGACCGAGGAATCTGTGATATGCACAGTAGCTTGGGTCACCGGTTTTGTCCGCCTCCTCAGGCTTGGCGGCTTCTGGCAACTTAATTCGCCCACTCTTGAGTAGAGTGTCGAGAGTCGCCACCACCTGGTCTTCTTTGAAATCATATTGCCGCTGGGGGCGTGGTTCAAATTGCCTGGGTTTAGGCTTTTGAGCAGCCTTCGGCGCCGGGGCGGAGTCAACTGCCATGATCTCTTTTCCTCTTGACCGAGGAGGGTTCTTTGGTGCAGCTGCCTCTGCCGCTCCTTTCTTAGACTGCGGCTCTTCGGCCTCCAGCCTCTTGATCATATTTTCGACTTGCTCGCCTTGGCAAACAAGCTCCTTCCAAGTTCGGGTCTCTACTGTCCCTATCTTGGACAAGATGTGGATCGACAGATTGTTGCAGCACATCTCAATCAGTGTCGACTCGGAAACTTGGTCCCGACAGTGGACTGATCGATTCCGAAATCTCTTCACGAAGTCGTTGACCGACTCCGATTTCCGCTGCTTCTCAGCAAGGAGAGTGGCCATTGACACTTTTGTGTCGTCATCGAAGAAGCGGGCGAGGAATAGCTTCTCAACGTCGGCCCACGCTTTGATAGAGCCAGGCTCCAGTTTGCGGAACCATTCAAAGGCCACCCCCTTGAGGGTGCCTATGAATAGTCGAGTGAGGATGGCGTCATTCCCGGTTAGGAATCCGGTCTGCGCCATGAAGTAGTAGATGTGTTGCGAGGGTGACCCCTTGCCATCAAACTGCACCAAGCTGATTGGCTTGAACTTCGCTAGGTATGGGACTGTGTCCCATTCGATAGGGTAGGGACGTACCACCCCCAGCTTGTTCATATTTTGCTGAAGCTTCAGCGCGTTCAGCTGGTCCTGGAACTCGTCGAATCTTTTGTCGCGGGTGCTATCCCCAGTGTGCGACGTTCCTATCGACGTTTTGGAGGAGTAATCAGAATGCTGATTATCCTCCGTCTCAACCGCCGGACGGTGAGGAGGTATCCACTCTTTGTCCCTAGTTTGTCGGGGTAAGGGACGCTGGGTTCTTTTCTTCTTCTTCTTCTTCAGCAGTTGTTCCATCATCTCTCTTAGAGAGTCGATGGTCGCCTGCTGTTCCTCCAGCTTTTGAGCCATCGTCTGCTCAGGGTTGAGCTCGGTCATGTGTGCTCTCGCCCGCGCGTCTTGACTTGAGCGCGAGGTCTGCGAGGTGGCTGCGGCCGAATGAACCTCGTCTTCTCCGCCGGAGGGAGGTACCAGGGTGGAGTAATCGAACCCAATGCTTACTCCCCTGCGACTGCGCGTCCGCTGGAATATGTCATCCTGCCGCCGTCGAGCGAACCGAGTGTTAGGTCTCAGGATGGAGTCCGATTCTGGCGAATCGGAGAGTACCGCCTGTTGGCCTTCTTGTTTTGATGATGATTTACAAACAATTTACTACTAATGTTGTTTGTCTAGTATTTG